CCCACATCAGATCCTTCCTGGCTGATGATCACCTAGGGGGGCAAAAATGACCACGACAGTATGCTAATCGTATGAATAATGTCACATTTATTTAATCCTTGCACACGCATGTGCTGAATCATGCCCTCATATTTCTTAAATTAGGTGACAGCTCTAACTCATAATAACAAAAGATTCCCACAAGGTCTGGTCAAGTTGTTTGAAGCACCACATGCACATTTTCTTAGCAATCGTAACAACGACAGCCACCCTACAAACTAGGCCAATGTTATGGTGCGCAGGACCGAACCCGAGGCAAGAGGTGGCTAAGAAAGGCATGCTAATGTTCTCTTGAGGAGTTGAGATTTCAAACAAAAAAACATTATCCCGTGCTCTTAAAATCTAGAATAGCGAAACCCAGGGCTTACAGACTGCTTGAATTACAGGAGGTGCGGAGAGGGACAGAACTTTAATGACACCCATAGTTTAGCACCCAATTTCCCCTAATTTTAAGCCACAGAATTCCCCCCACAGCCACTAAATAATATAGCTAATAATATCGCACAAAATGAGGTGTCACATCTGGCCCGTGGAACTAAAGCAGTGGTGTAATTTTTACTAAAGTCTGTACTCAACTGAAAGGGTAAGAATAAGCAGACCTCACCTTTTATGGGATGGCCTTTAAATCTTCCAAAAAAACCTGCAACCTACTTTATTTGTCTGTTTTCTTGCTGCTTATATCCTCCACTGGAGATCCAGAGATTTTAGGATGGGCTACAGAGGAGAAAATAACATTAAAATCTTAAAAAAACATATTGAAAAGTTTAAGAAAACCAAAACCTATTTGGAACACGTGTTTAATGTGGAATGATATATCCCTAAACCCCAGGGCATAAGAGTTGGTGGCAGCTACTCAGTGGGAGAGAAAAGACGCTCTGCACGTTTCTAAATATGCGATTGGTTTGAACATTTCCAGGATAAAATCTCCAGTTTTTACCACCTGCGAATCTTGACTAGGAATATTCTCTTGACTTGTTTCCCGGGAGCATTTTGTGGTAGTTTTTTTTACCAGAGTCCAAGAATTCTCTCCCAAACGTATGTCCATTTTTATAGGTATAGTTATTTCTTTATTTTTTAAAAATCAACTAAATGAGTCAAAATGTTGTCTGGACATTGCTGTTTACTCGCAGTCCAGATTATCGATAAAGTCTCTCTCTCCCCTTATGGCCCCTGTTGGATGCATCCCCTTCCGTTAACGGCGATCGTGAAGCCTGGTGGACCCCCCCCCGCCGTGTCACAGGCCAGTGAGTAAGTGGTGCACCTTCAAAAGGGGGTAGAGCTGTCAGCCCCATCCTCTCTCCCTTCTCCCTTCTCAACATCACACTCTCATTGACTGCATCTCACCTGCCACCCCTCTGTGTGTGTGCGTGTGTGTGTGTCCATACACCTGTCAACAGCAGACAATGGCTGCAAGCCACGGAAACCCAGCTGTGCTGTTGTGCCGACTCGCTTTGCTTTCCAGCAGGGGTGGGCAACCTTTGGCCCTCCAGATGTTTTTGACCGTTACTCCCCCAAGTTCGTTAAGCCTTAGCATAGTGGTCCCCCGACCTTGGACCTCCAGATGTTCTTGGACTACAACTCCCAGAAGCCTTCACCACCACCACCTCTGCCGGCCAGGATTTCTGGGAGCTGAAGTCCAAGAACATCTGGAGGCCCAAGGTTGAGGACCACTGCTTAGCAAAGCTGGCCAGGATTTTGGGAACTGAAGTCTATTATGATCCAGAAGGCCAAGAATCCTTCAGCCCTGATTTTATATAGCCTTCCCATACAACCGTCCAGACGCACTTGATTTCAGTTTTTATCCTTCCCCCAAGCATCATGTTGACGTTATGGAAGCTAGAGAGAACAGTATGGTGTTGTGGTCTTGAGAGACCCGAGTTCAAATCCCCACTTGGCTAGGTCATTCACTTTGTGACCTTGGTGTTGTGCTTGGTTTCTTGGGCGCCGGCGGCCCTTCGGTTGCCTGTTTATTTGCACTCTGAAAGCATCCTTTGACTGGGCCGGTTCTTCTGTAAAAAGGCACCTTAAAGGCCAATCTTTGCTCACGGCAACTATGTTGTAAATTCCACAAATTAATGAACTGTGTAAAAAAGAAGCTCTTATACAAGCTTGTTCTGAATGTCCCCTGACATCTGACTATAAGAGCCTGGCCCTTCAGCTTTCCATATCTGGGGCCAAGAGTTTATTGATTTATTATCGAAGGCTTTCACGGCCGGTATCGGATGGTGGTTGTGGGTTTTTCGGGCTCTTTGGCCGTGTTCTGAAGGTTGTTCTTCCTAACGTTTCACCAGTCTCTGTGGCCGGCATCTTCAGAGGACTGGAGTAGGAACTCTGTCCATGC